TCCTATTTATATGTGCTACCTATTTTTATCAAGGAGAGGCTGCGATTTTAAATGGAATTCAATAATCATCTAATGATAAAGGGTTCCTACCTATTACCCAAGTGGTGATTGTTGTTTATCAAATCTTTAAAATTCAATTCAATATAAATTACGATTTTTTACTACCTAGATACATTATAATAATTTGCTTAAAGCTTAAACCTTAAACTATAGACTATTGCTGTTTCGGATAATTTGGACAAAATATATGATATTTTATTCTGGGCAAATAAAAAATCAAGAGCCTTCCGAGTAAGATAAGGATATCAATTTCGAGCACTTTACCAATAATTATTAGTCTACATCTAAAATACAAAGATGATATGTATATATCTGAAAAATCAAYACCCATACTAGTGTGCAATCAAAATTTAGTGGTCCAAAACTTGCATCAGTTTTTATTTAATATATATATAGGTACATAGGTACATCGACTTTGAATTGTATCTACACTATTTTTAATTTAAGTTATTTCTAGTCTCTATAAGTAGGTACATTAAAATAGACGGTMACATGTCTTCAGATATAATTTTGCTACCTACTCTAAAGTTATTCTTGTACATTGTGGTTTTTAAAATATTTTCTGAAATTATCAAACCATTTAAAAATTGGGGATAATATACAATAGTTTTATAATCTGTGTTTAATTTCCATTACTTTAAGGTACTACATGGTTTTATACGATACATAGGTAACTGGTATAGTAATGGTATAATACGGTCAATATTATACAAATAAAATYCTTAATTTAACACTCTTTCATAGTTTCATACTAATTAGGTCTATAGGATTCTACTAAAGAGTACCAACTACCAATTATTTATTAGTAGGTTCAAAGTAAAATGGTTTATTACATGTAATATGATCATCCTAATTTAAAATTTAATAATACACAATTCATAATAAAAATAATAGGTAATATATTATTTATTCAACACTATGAGAATGATTGTCAGATGAATGGATATTTGAAATTCGCTCTTCAGGACTTTTTTCTTTACTATTTAGTAATGATTTTCTTATTATTTTACCGTTTTAAATGACGATCATTATGTTATTTCAGGGGAGTAATTAAAGGGAGCATTAGGATTAAGAGGATAGATCCCGCTCAAAA